TAAAATAATGTTCATATCCATTGTGTACTTATTAATATAATAATATCAATAATTGTAGTAAAAATAATAAAATTAATTATTTTGATAATTGATATACATGAGTGACTTTTTTTCTTATAAAATTATAGTGGAACCTCGCTTAACGAGCAAAATGAATTTTAAGATAAATGACAACGTTTCGCATTACGAGTGACTATGAGAAGAGAAGTCACAGATTGCGCGCCTGCTACATCATTTTTAAAACTTGTATACAGATATTATGTGTATTTTTGAATATGTTTCACTAAAAATTTCAGTAAAAATCCGGATTAAACTCGTTAAGCGAGGTTCCACTGTATAAAAGTTTTTTATGTACAGATTATTATCATTTTTAAAGTATAAAATAGTATTTGTGATAAATATGAACAATATTTATTAAAAATTAACAAAAAAATGCCGAATTTATTTTAAAATATAAATGCAATGCAATATATAAAATTATTTTTTTTAGTTCGAATTAGGACTTATCTGCCATTAATAATAGTAAATATACACTTTTTGTATATTTTTATTGCAAATCAATGTTGTTCTCCCTACCTTTTAACATTATAAATTATTCATTAAAATAAAAATACTTCTTTGATTACTTACAAATTATAGGAGTTTTTGTTCAATATGTTAAATAATTTATTACAAATTTTAAAGACATTTTATGTAATCCAATTAGCATAAAGTTTAAGCTAATATTAATAAGTTTATTCCATTTCAAAGTATATACAAAATTATAATGATCATAATAAAGGATTTGTTATATTTTTACAAATTTTAATTAAAAAGATAAAATGCACTCTAAATTAATCATCAATTAAGTGACTTTTCAATCAGTGTGTCGTGAAAGATTCTAAGGATATCATAAGATAATTAATTTAATTATTTTCCAATGAAATCCAAAGCATAAAAGCTCAAGTGTGCAGCAAAAGTTTAAGTTTAGGTTCAAGTATGCCTTGAGACAAAAGAAGGTAAAAAAAACAAAATATAATTTATTGTAATAATAATAATATTTATTATAACAGAAAATTACAAAATAAAAAAATCAATACAATAATATAAATATCATAAACCAAAAAAAGTTAACTGCTTCAAAGGGCTATTGACCATAGGACTTTCTGTCCTAATTTATTGTATTTAACAAAATAAAATAAATTTTATAAATTAATTTTTATTTGTGCAAAATAAATTATAAACAATAGTACACAAAATACTTTATATACAAAAATGATTGTTTTATTTTCACTCTATGAAGCGAAGTCTCTTTTTGTGCTGTTTACTTTTATGCGGTTTTAGAGTCCTCGATTAGTCCGGTTTCAAATAGTGCAGGTATTTATGTATATTATTATAGTTATCATTTTTCTAAGGTACATAAAATATTTGAAAAATATAAAAATTTAACAATGACACAAAAAAAGTAAGAACTATTCATTGAAATTCATAATTTTCTTAAACTATTTTCATTTATGTTTAATTTTACTTAAAAATCTTCAAACATATTTATATAAAAATTATATTGTTAAAAACAATGCAAACTTTGATAGATGAAGTTTAAAAAAGTTATTTTAGGTTTATTTACATAAGGTGACAAAAAGACATCAGTCCATTTTTATTAATTATTATTAAATAAAGTTAATATTTCCTGTCATATTATTATTTCTTTTGTTTTATAAGAAAATAAATGAAAAAATATCAAGAAAACTATCATTTTCTACACAAATAAATTATAGAATTGTTTAATTCAATGAAATTTAAATATAACGAACGTTAAACTAAGTAATCTTTATTATTGTTATTGAACTAAGAGCTTTTTGAATCAGCAATTGTTATTTTAGCATATTCTCCGTAGATTCTCTCAGATACGTTAGATTTGCAAATGATTAAGATCAAAGAAAATCGGTTAAGTATCGAAGTTATATGTATGTTATGCATGATGTGATATCAGTGATGTGTGAGGAACGTGAAAAATCCGTTAAATCTATTCAAATTTGTATCAACTGGCGATGACAATAACTGGGAAGAAAGTAAGTTTACCCGTGAATTTGAATAATTTTCTGGAAGTAATGACGCAGACTTGCAAATCATAAAGACGACGACGTCTCCTGTCAATCAATGCACCGGAATTTCCGCCAGTTGATTTCCTATGCCGATTTGAATAAACGCAACAAAGGTGATCGGATTTTCGGACAAGGGTCTTCCCACCCCACATTATACAATTCTAACGAGGCCCACTTATTTTGAGTTAATTGTCACAATAGGTATGACCGATGCAAATGTAGACACACATACAAAAAAAAAATTGAAGAGAAAAACGTAGAAAATAGGGAAATTGTTGCAGCTGAGTTTAAATTCGCACTTGAGAACTTAATCGGCCGGAAGTGGATTTCAATTGATCCTTATCCGCATGCGGTCCAACCCCAATTTACACAAACCATCACCACAAAAAAATGAAATGGAAATAATAGTGAACTTTGCATACGACGAATAACAGATGATCAACATATAAACAGAATCACCAAGGGATGATTCTGCGAAAGGAGAATTTTCTATTTTTTTTTAGTCTAATTTAATTTATTTCGTACGTAAATCGGCTTGAAGAGGGTACGAATAAATGCGATTTCTGAAGTGAATGAATGAATGAACGGAATGGAAAGTAAGGCAGGAGAATGAAATAAACAGAAATACGCACGAACGAAATAAGCAGAAATCCTCGAATTGGTAGTGATTTTGCATGTCAAGTGTCAGTTTTGCTTGTTTTTCTTTCGCGTGTTTCTTTCCTACCTTTATTACGAATATGCCCGGATTTCGTGTCACAGTTTGTTACTAGTCACGTGCGAGCATGCAAAATGGGATGTGGATATAATAAAATAAAATTATATATATATATAAAAACATATACGTTTATATGCGTGTAGTCGCATGCAACAATGTCCCATTACATACATCGTTATTATCCTTTTACGCAGACCTGCATAATTCAACAAACCCAAATTTTCTCCCTTTTCCTCAAAATTAATTGGAAGATTAACCCTTTTAATATGAAATGACGTGATTCAAACGTCTAAAGTTTCTTTTCGAATGTTCATTCTATAAGACGGTAAAACTAATAACTATTACATTTTTAAAGTTGTAAAAGAACAAGCTTTTATTTTGAGAAGATTGAAGTTAAATTCTAATCCCTTTAGCAAAACTTCTATAGTTCAAAACCGTTCGTAAATGAGTACAACCTTTATCCAGAAGCTTTATCCAATAAAATTCGACAGAAGTTATAGTAAAATTGATATAGAATATTCCAAACATAGAGTAATTTACTGCAAACTGTGGTAACAGCGCTTTGCCTTTGAGAAGATTAGAGTAAAATTTTACTCCTTTCAAAAACGTTTGACAATGAGTAAAACATTTATCCAGCAGCAATGAATGAAGTTCGTCAGAAATTATAGAAGAATTGATTTAGACTAATCCAAATATAAAGTAATTTACAACAAACCCTGGCAATCAATGCTTTTGTTTTAAGAAGATTAGGTTCAAATTTTACTCCTTTTGGCAAAACTTATACAATTATAGTTCAAATATGTTTGACAATGAATAACATTTTTATCCAGCTATAATACATGAGATTCATCAGAAATTATAGAAGAATTGAATTATAATAATCCAAAGATAAAGTAATTTATAATAAACCCTGGCAATCAATGCATTAGTTTTAATAAGATTAGAGTTAAATTCTACTTCTATTTTCAAAACTTATCATATAACTTGATTCAAAAACGTTCGAAAAGCAGTAAAACTTTTATCCAGCTGCAATAAATGAGATTCGTCAGAAATTATAGACGAGTTTATTTAGATTAATCCAATCATAAATAAATATACTGCAAACTATGGCAATGCTTTGGTTTTAAGAAAAATTAGAGTCAAATTTTAGTCCATTTTGCAAAACTTATGAAGTTATAGTTAAAAAACGTTTGACAATGAGTAAATCTTTTATCCAGCAGCAATGAATGAAATTCGTCAGAAATTATAGAAGAATTGATTTAGAATAATCCAAACATAAAGTAATTTACAGCAAACCCTGGTAATCAATGCTTTGGTTTGAGAAAATTACAGTTAAATTCTATTCTTTGCAAAACTTCTGAAAATATATTTCAAAAACGTTTGACAATGAGTAAAACCTTTATCCAGCAGCAATGAATGAAATTCGTAAGATATTATCATTTTTTTCAGAAATTATGGAAGAATTGATTTGAAAATTAGAATCAAATACGCGAACCAAATAAATATACATCAATTAAAGTCATCTTTAAGAATTCTTCAGTTTAGTTTATTAGTATAAATAAATAATACTTAAAATTTTTGTTAAAAAAAATATATTTTAATTGTATGTCAAGTGGTTAATATTAGCTTATTGTATTAAAAGTATAAAAATCAAACAATCTCTAGTATCAATTTAAAATTTCTTTACCATCAATTAGCTCTTAAAACTAATATCTCAAATAATAAATGCAAAAATAAAGTTACTTATCCAAAAAAAATGAAGTATTTTTATTTTTCATTGAGACAGAATTATAAATAAGTGAAATATTTATAACATTTAATACAAATTTCAAATAATAAATTTAATTTGTTCACATTTTATTTATTTTATTTCTTATTCACACGTTGCCTATTTAGACAATAAGTAGAATGTGTAATTTTAAGCTGGATAATTCATAAGCAAACAATATTTATGTATTCAATAGATGTAAGTTTTTGCATTAACAGAATAGATTTTTGTTAATTGAAAATTACACGGGTATATATTGATATAGGCAACCATATATACATGTAGAGAGTATTTAGTTTGAAATATGTCTTCTATGCAATTATGATTCAATTCTTATTATTTATTTTATTATACAATAAATTTTGTTTATTATTACTTTATATATTTGTTACTGTTTATTGGTTTATGTGTTATAAGAATGCATTTAGATTCCGCCTACTGAAATGTTTAAATCCGAAACTGATAAGTACTCTAAATTCGATGAAAATGTAAGAATTTGTATATAATATACAAGTCACTAACGTTATTTTATTCTAGGGTTTACCGACACACGATTTAGAAGGAAAGGAGATCAGCAAAGGTCAAATGAAGAAGTTGCAAAAGCTGCAGCAAGCTCAGGAAAAGAAATATCAAGAATATTTAGCTAGTCAGAAATCTTGAACGAACGATGAATCACCGATGATTATTTATTATGCGAGAACTTATTAATTAACCATTTAATGATTAATTTTATGAAAGATAGTGTTGAAAACATTGTTTCTCTAACTATTGTGCATTTTATAGTGTAATATAAATCATTGTGTAATTTTATACTACTTATATTTAATATACAAAGTGCTCTTATAATTATCAATACTTTTTCTTTTCATTTGATGAAATACTACAACCTATTCAAATTATTGACTTTATTTAAATGTAGCTTTGTAAAATAATGTAACTAATGTTTAGTATCTTTTTAAATTTATATAATAGCAAAAATATTCAGGCAACCTAATATTCTATTTACACATGTATAGTCGTTATGCAACCAAATATTCATAATTGCATCTTTTCGAAGTACAGTAAGACCTAAGTCTAGAGCTTACGATGCGTTCCTAGACAAGTCCAAAATCGTCAAAATTTGGTCGTGAAAAGCTGTGATACTCTTAATTATCATTATATCAGTAAAATCATGTTTACTTTTTAATTTATAATGTATCTTAACAGAATGCAAAAAAAGTTTTAGTGTATTTTCAACATAATTTATTATTATATAAAAAATAGAAATTATTACAATTTAAAAGTAAAAA